GAAAGATTCATTGCAGGATTACCCCCAGTATTTGCAATAAAAGTAAGAGAAAAATTAGTTCAAAAATACCCTGAACCATTACAAGATATAACCTATGGAAAAATAATTGCAACTATTAAAAACACTGCTTTAGAAATATGTAATAATCTAAAATTAGAAAAACAAGTTAAAAGACAACAAGAAAGTGGTACTAAAGAATTAGGAGATTTTTGTATACAATACGGATACGAAAGATTAGATCCTCCGTCCAGAAAAAAAAAGAAAAAACAAATAATTAAAAGAAAAATCTCCCAGAATAATAATAGGAATTTCCCTAGAAATTTTAAAAGAAAAATAAAAACAAGCCCCTTAGCAAATAATAATCAATCCAATCCTAAAAAAGGAATAGTTTTCTATAAATGTGGAAGATACGGACACATGAAAAAAGATTGTAGAGTAAAGGAAAGAATACAAAATTTAGATATGAGTGAAGAAACTAAAAATCAAATAACTAAAATATTGTTATATGAGTCGAGAAGAAGATATTAATAATATAATAGAACCTAATAGCGAGTGAAGAGGAATCTACTACCAATTTGAGTGAAAACGAGGACGAAGAAAATCGTGATTGCATATTTAAAATAAATGTTCTAACTACCGAAACTAAAATAGCCCTAGAAATGGTAGATAAACTTTCAAATGAAGAAGATAAGTTAGAATATTTAACCAGATTAAAAACATTAATATTAAGTGAAAAAGAAACGAAACGAGTACAAAATGAAGTAAGTGGTTACGATTTTTCTAAAATATTACGAAAAGCCATAAATAAAGAAAAACACTGTAAAGATACAAGACTTACAAAAAGAAGTAAGCCTTTTAAAAGAAGAAATTAAAGAAATAAAACTTCAATTAGTAGAATTAAAGATAACAAATGAAATACAAGAGGAAAAAATAAAAATTATAAATAATAAAGAACCCTTAAAAAACGAATCAACCTCTGAAACGGTTAATCAAATAAAAATTTTACAACAAAAATGGCATATAAAAGCAACATTAAAAATTGGAAATAGTTTTCATAAACAATTTATAGCCTTGGTAGATTTTGGAGCTGATATAAATTGTATAAGAGAAGGGTTAATACCTACAAAATTCTATGAAAAAACTCTACAAACCTTAAGGACGACTAACTACGAAAGACTAAAAGTAAAATATCAATTATCAAATGTCGAGTATATGTAATAAAGGCACTTGTTTTAAAAATACTTTTATATTAACTCCGACATTAGCGAAGAAATGATATTAGGAACTCCATTTTTAGCACTAATTTACCCCTTTGAAGTGTCAGAACAAGGAATAAGCCATAAAAATCTTTTATTCGAATTTATTAAACCAATAAAAAATAAAGAAATACTATTAGTAAATGATGTAAATGAAGAAAACTTTCTACTAAAAATAGAAGCTAAAACTACTCATATAAACTATTTAAAACAAGAAATAACATACAAAAGAATAGAAGAACAATTAAAAAATCCAGAAGTAATAAAAAACTTTAAAAATATAGAACAAGAAATAATAAAAGAAGTATGTGCGAAGTTCCTACTGCTTTTTGGAATAGAAATACTTTCGAAATAGAATTACCATATGAAGAAGGATTTTCAGAAAGAAATATTCCTACAAAAGCCAAACCAGTACAATTAAACAAAGAAACCTTAGAATACTTGAGAAAAGAAATAAAATCTTTTTTAGATAAAAAATTTATTAGACCAAGTAAATCGCCTAGGAGTTGTGCTTGCATTTTATGTGCAAAATGCCTCCGAAATAGAAAGAGGAGAACCAAGAATGGTAATAAACTATAAACCTCTAAATAAAGTATTAAAATGGATAAGATACCCTCTACCAAATAAAACCGAATTAATAAGCGAGAATTTATAAAGCCACTATATTTTCTAAATTTGATATGAAAAGTGGATATTATCAAATCAAATTAAAAGAAGAAGATAAATATAAAACCGCTTTCATTGTACCTTTTGGGCAATACGAATGGAATGTAATGCCTATGGGATTAAAAAATGCGCCTTCAGAATTCCAAAAAATAATGAATGATATACTAAATCCATACTCAAAATTTGCCATTGTCTACATTGATGATGTATTAATATTTTACTGAAACCATAGAACAACATAAAAAACATTTAAAAATATTTAAAAATATTATTAAAGTAAATGGAATGGTAATATCACAAAAGAAAATAAAATTAGCACAAACACAGATTAGGTTTTTAGGTCATGATATAAACCAAGGAACCATAACTCCTATTAAACGCAGTATTGAATTTGCGAGAAAAATTTCCCAATGAAATAAAAGATAAATTACAATTACAAAGATTTTTAGGATGCTTAAATTATGTAGCGAGAATTTATACCTAATATTAGAATAATATGTAAACCACTTTTTAATAGGTTGAGAAAAAATCCTAAACCTTGGACCCTTGAAATGACGAACATAGTAATAGAAGTTTAAAAATTAGTCAAGACCCTACCTTGTTTAGGAATACCTAATCCAGATGCAAAAATAATTATAGAAACTGATGCCTCTGACTTAGGATACGGAGGTATATTAAAACAACACTTACCTAATACTCCCGAACAGATAGTAAGATACCACTCAGGAATATGGAATGAAGCACAAAGAAATTACAGCACTATTAAAAAGGAAGTTTTAAGCATAGTTTTAAATATACAAAAATTTCAACATGATCTAATAAACAAAAAAATTCTATTAAAGATTGATTGCAAATCGGCAAAAGAAGTTTTAGAAAAAGATGTGAAAAATATAGTTTCAAAACAAATATTTTCCAGATGGTAGAGTTTATTATCTTGTTTCGAATTTGATATCGAATTTATAAAAGGAAAAGAGAATTCTATTCCAGATTTTCTAACAATAGAATTTTTGCAGGGCCACTCCCATGGCAACCCCTTCTAAAAACCCTAATACCCCAGAAAAGAATAAACCAGAAAATCCTAAGTCATCTACATTATCCTTAGATGATTTTGCCCCTTCATATTCGAAAACAATAACCACCCGCAAACTTCCTACTTCAATAATTACTCCCCCTAATAGGTTTACTCCTTTAACCCCACAAAAAACCCAGAATACTCCCCTAGAAATAATTCCGAAAAAAGAGTTTCACATTAAAGAAGGATGTCAAAAGATAGTCACCGTAGAAGAAGATTGGAATACTGAAGACATATATGGAATACTGAAAAGACTAGCTCCCGCAGGATGGAGTTGGATTCCCAAATCAGAAAATTTAAAGAAAACCAAGAAATTTTATCAATTTATTTTAATAGACACTGGCTCCGCAGAAATAACCCCCATCCCTAATAATAGAGATCCCTCTATTATTAGTTACTCAAAATTAAGAATAATCAAAATCATTTCATACCAAGAATGGAATCAACATCCATTCACCGATAAGAGCTTTTCGAGGCCCTTTGACCCCCCATCATACAATTACTTTGACTATCAAGAAGCCTGGAACAAAATACTTTTTGACACCAATCCTAGGCATTCTTGGTACATATGTTTTAAAAAAGAAATACCCAATTCATTACCCAACTGGTTCATTGATTGGTTTAATCAAATAGGACCGGTTCAGTCCATAATACCCGAAAAGGTCATGAAGATATATCAGAAATATAAAACCCTTACTCCTCAATACCCTCCTTATCTTCGAATAATAAAATTCTGTTCAACCATGGGAATAAGCTGGCTTTTGGCCCACATTCCTGAAATCCATCAGCATAAGGACGAGACCTATCCAAAAACGCTTTGTTTAAAAACCAAAGTTTTTTGGTGGAAAAAATTCGAAGTCCAATATGTAGAAGAAAAGTTCGAAAATTGGAAGAAAATGGGCCTCATCCGAAGCCCCATACCAAAAGACATTCCCTCCTTAAAAGACAAAGGAAAATCTATTATAGACTTATCACACCTCCCGTCATCAAAAATAGAAAAGGCCCAATTAAAACTAAAAATGCTAGAAGCCTTATCATCCTTGGGCTCAGATGAAGAAGAAGGAGAAGATGAAGCCATCAGTAATATTCAAGATGCACAAGACCCGTATGAAGAAGAAGAAGTTGATTTTAATCAATTTTAGCAACTAATTCCGTCAACAGAAATTCAAAGAAAAATTGATGCTATCATGAAAAGATTAGAAGAAGACCCACACGAAATATCCTTCTAAAGCATCTCAGTAAGAAGTTGGGCTTATCAGGCCCATCGCCCAAAAGATGCTAAAATCACCTCCTTCAGAAAGAAGATTCTCTACGTCAAAAGAAAAGGACCCCACCAAAGGAAAAGCAAAAACATTGTAATTATGAAGTTTTGTTTTTAGTGTCGGCCGCCGAAAGTAAAGGTGTGCCAGTTGTAATTTTCTTTTAGTCCCCTGTAATTATGTCCTTGGTCGGCCACTTGTTAATAGTGTGCCAGTTGTAAAGTAGAATAGGAACCAAATAGGAACATTTCAAGGCCTATAAAAGAGTCAGTTGCTGAAGTAAAATTTACAGCTCTCTTAGAGCCTTAAACTCTACCTTCCTCAACCAACTCCTTCATAGCCTAAGTTCTCAGCCTTCCCTCATTCTCTCACGAATAATCTGAATATTGTAAGCTTTTCATTGTAATATTAAGACTTCTTTTCTTCTATACTTCTTCTCTCTTCTCTTCCGCTTTTAAATGCGCACTGGTGCCAGAAATGGTATCGAGAAAACATGTTTCAAAGATAATATCTATTATTATATATGACATATATATATATATATATATATATATATATATATATATATATATATATATATATATATATATATATATATATATATATATATATATATTAGAAAAGCAAGCCTTTAATTATATCATAACAAGTTGTTTCTATTCTACTACAATATTTTTGTATGATAATAAGTTTTGAAGGTGACAATTAGTTTCTAGAATTTGCCAACCACGATTTGTTTTATTTTAGTTTCTGAATTGGAGTTTACTTGCATGCATAGAGATCTTTCATATAACAACTTCACCAGTGCAAATTTTGAGCTATGCCAAGAGACTAAAGGGGCAATGTAAGTATTATATTTCATTTTTTTTATTTGGTAAAATTGTCAACATATAATTTGCATTAGGGTTAACCATATTTTATGTCACAGGAATTTGTTTTTAAGCTTCCCAATGAACAAAATGTAAGTTTTTTTATTTTCCAGCCCTAAAGCTTCTCACTGCTCACACTCATCCAACCCATTTTTTTTTTTTTAAAGAAGGAAAAAACAGTTTTGATTTTTTTATGAATCGGTCGGAAACTGGGTTAAGGTAGTTCATCATTGTTTATGCTAACTTGTGTGTTTTGTCTCCCTTTAATAATCTTACTGCAGTGGACCTGTTTATTGTCGCAGTCCTGCAAACTGTCCAAAATGTAAGTTTAAGTAATTTCTTCGACTAAGTTGTTACTACTAAGAACCTGGACTTGTTAATCAATGAATATTTTTGTGGTAAAAAAACAAAAGGGAGAAATTATTGTCCTCCAAGCATGTTTTATACTTCATCAACCATTTCTGAAAAAAAAAAAAAATATTCTCTATAATATTGTGAGTTTATTAAATTTTTAGTATTTTTAAGGTTAAATTTCATTTTTAGTTATTTTTTTTTCATTTAAGTTTAATTCCATCCTTTATCTTTTGAAACTTTTAATTTACTTCTCTATCTTTTGAATTTGGTTATTTTATCACCTGAAAATAACATTTTTTAATTGTGACAATGAAGTTTAAAAATTATTAAAGTCTCGTGCAAAGAACATTAAATTTTTATTGTAGTAGTGATTGAAAGTTGACTTTTCAACATTTTTATAATTTTTAAATATTTTTAAGATATTATAGCTATAAAAATATTTCCAAACCCATAATATTTGTTTGCGACGGTTTTTAATATCTATTATATTAATATTATCAAAACGTTGATTTCAAGGCTAATAGAAGAACCAAATTAAACCACAAATAGAGAAGAAAAAAAAGTAAATTGAACTTTAAAAAAGAAAAAGAACAAAATAAATCAAATAAAAAGATATATAACTAAAATATTTTGTTGATTAGAATAAAAAAAAACAAAAAAAAAAGTTTATGTTTTCATGAAAATATAATTTACTACTCCTCATCATAAAAATAAAATAAGATATAGTCTTCAACCTAAACAATACTTTGGAATAACTTTCTAAACATGATCAATAAATTAACGAAGGGTATTACATTTCCAAAAATCTGACTTTTTTTGTAACAGACGTTTCCTCTGTCAATATTAATTGTGGTGGTGCACAAGTGACAAGTAGTGAACGTATATTATATAGTGATGACTTGGATCTATCAGGAGCAGCAACATCTAAGAAATACAATGAAAACTGGGCATTTAGCAATACCGGTCACTTCTTGGATAGTAAAGAAGAAAAAACCTATATCCAGCAAAGTACCGTTAAACTTTCTATGACTGCTGATTCTGAATTGTATCAGACCGCGCGTGTATCCCCCATTTCCCTGACTTACTATGGATTGTGTCTGGAAAATGGAACCTACACTGTATCTCTGCATTTTGCAGAGATCATGTTCACTGATGATGACACATATAGCAGCCTAGGGAGACGTATATTTGATGTTTACATTCAGGTATTATATGCTTAGTTTCTACATTTAAATCCAAGTTTAAAATTTTCAGAATTATTTAGAGTGTATACATTAGAATTGTGGAAGTCAAAATCCATTATGGCTTGGATTTGAAATAATACAGGGAAAGCTAGAATTGAAGGATTTCAATATTGCAAATGCAGCAGGAGGAGTTGGGAAGAACGTTACAAGAACAATTTCAACTAGTGTGAGTAATAACTCTCTGGAAATTCGGTTTTATTGGGCTGGAAAAGGAACAACTGCTATACCATATAAATCAGTATATGGTCCTCTTATATCAGCTGTATCTGTCACTCGCGTTGGCAATGGTGAGTCACTTCGTTCTGAGTTTATTCTTTCAATTTTATATTTGAAGTATCAACTTACACGTATTCTTCTTCTGCAATTATGATGCAGACTCTACAAATCACACGGACGGTCGTAGCATTGCTACAGGGGTTGTAATTGGAATAGTATTTTCTGCAATTGTTCTTGTCATCCTTATTGTACTTGGCTTGAGGATTCAGTTTAGGAAAAGAAATTCATTGGCAAAAGGTAATTCTCTATTTTGTTCTCCTTCCCTTGATTTCAAATAAATTTTGATTATTATTCCCTTAAAGAACTTTACTAGAAAATATGACTACCTTGAAAATTACACTAACAGTAATTTATAATTGGATGACAAACACTATCAATTGATCATAATTAAGCTCTTGACATAATATCTATCTCTTTCAACATTATCAATAAAACACAAGATTTCTGAAGATGTATAAGATGTCTAATTTCAGTTCTATTCTATTGACAGAGTTAAAGCATTTAAATTTGCAAATGGGTTTGTTTACCATGCGTCAAATCAAAGTTGCAACGAATAACCTTGATATCTCTAATAAGATTGGAGAAGGAGGCTTTGGTCCTGTCTACAAGGTATCCATCAATATATTAGATAACTTGTCATAACATAATTATGTTGATTGATCTATTGTAATTGTATAAAAGACCTACTAAATAATATACAACACTCAATTATTTTTATTATTTCGTAATTGCAGGGTGTTTTATCAGATGGCACAATAATAGCTGTTAAGATGCTTTCATCAAAGTCAAAGCAAGGGAACCGTGAGTTTATAAATGAGATAGGTTTGATTTCAGCTTTGCAGCACCCTTGTCTTGTTAAACTTTATGGCTGTTGTGTTGAGGGTGATCAGTTGTTCCTGGTATACGAATACATGGAAAACAATAGCCTTGCACATGCTTTATTTAGTAAGTATTCTTTTACATAATCATATAATTTGTTTCCTTAATTTTAAGGTGACTGACTTATGTTTAATATTTATGAAGAAAACGGAGAATCTTGTTTGCAATTGGATTGGCCAACAAGGTATAAGATCTGTGTTGGTATAGCTAGGGGTTTGGCTTTTCTACATGAAGAATCAAGATTGAAAGTTGTTCATAGGGACATTAAGGCTACTAATGTGTTGTTAGACAAAGACTTGAACCCAAAGATATCTGACTTTGGTCTTGCCAAACTTGATGATGAGGACAATACTCACATAAGCACAAGAATAGCCGGCACATAGTAAGTTATCAATCAAAGAGTTCTCAAAGTTTGGTTTTGTATGAAATTTGTTGCACAGAAATTTGGACAAGTTGTCATATTTCATGTGTATTTCAATTATGCAGTGGATATATGGCTCCAGAGTATGCCATGCATGGTTATTTGACTGATAAAGCAGATGTGTATAGTTTTGGAGTTGTTGCCTTGGAAATTGTAACAGGAAAGAGCAACACCATCCCTCGACCCAAACAAGAAGCATTGCATAATCTTTTAGATTGGGTAACTTCCATTTTCTACATTTGTTGATTTGAATCAGACCATCCATTACATTGTGTACTGTGTATGATAATGTCCTCGAATTAAGACCCTATCCTTCATGCTCAACTATAGATATTTCAATTGTGAAGTACTGAAATCAAACATGATTTGCTTCTTTTGTTTCAACAGGCACAATTATTGAAAGAGAAAGGTAATCTGATGGAGCTAGTTGATAGAAGGTTAGGATCAAATTTCAATGAAGATGAGGTAATGAAGATGATCAAAGTGGCTCTCCTGTGCACAAATGCCACTTCAAACCTCAGGCCTACCATGTCATCAGTGCTTAGCATGCTTGAAGGAAAAACTGTGATTCCAGAATTAATTTCAGATCAAAGTGAAACTATGGATGATATGAAGTTAGAGGCTCTGAGACAATATTACTCTCAAATGGAAGAAAATGAGAAAAGTGAGACACATACAAATCATAGTACATCGATTGATGGGAAATGGACTGCTTCATCTTCATCTGCTGCAGACCTGTACCCAGTCCACATTGATTCTTCTTATTGGGAGAAAAGATAAGATACGGCGAATGAATAAATTGTACCTATATATTTAGGAGTACCTCACTTTTTTGTCAAAAACCATAATTTTGTCTATATTAAAGTATCACAAGGAGAAAATTTTAATAACTTATACTTTATCTTTATCTGTAAATTCATATTTGAGTTTGATTGGTCTCATTCCTTTTCTTTATATCCATTTGTCGACCATTTTAATAATAAAAATACAGTATTAAGATTCTAAACCTTTTTAAATCGCTTCTTCCTTGAGTTATTAACCACTATTCAAAATATTTTCGAATTAATTATTTTAGAACTATTTTTAAATATGTGTTTCTAGAAGAATTTTGATCTACAAAGTTTTTTGAATTGGGTGCTTCCGAACGAATTTAAAAATGTAATTCATTCCATAAACACCAATTTAGAAATGTAATTCAGAACAACAGCTTCGGAAATACATCCTAGACTACACATTTTGAAAATACATATAAGAATATCCATTCAACACAACATTATAGACTTATTCATTATGGAAATACATTCCAGATTATTTAATGATCACAATATTTTGATGTCACAAAATACTGATTAAATTAAAAAATAAATAAGTTATTGAGTTGTGTCAAATCTCATAATTATAAGAACGTATCCATTATTATACATTATTTTCTTTTAAAATAGTAAATAGAAGTTGATGAAAGAATGAAAATTAAAATCAAATTATAATAGAATAATAATGATAATTACAATTAAATTGAAGTAGAATCTAAATAACTAAAATTTATCAAATCAAAACAGAGTGCTTTTAATTAAATATAAAGATTGCTAGAATAAAGTACAAAAAAAAATTACTTTAAAATAAAAGAGGATAGTAATTAAATTTAAAATTTCTAAAAGCGATAACTCTAAAACTAAATCGATAATTATAATTATAATAAAAAAATAGATGAATTGAAAATGAAAATTAAGTAGTATTCGAATAAAATAAAAATTCTAAACAATTAAATAACAGAAAATAAAATGAGCACTGAATTAATAAAGTAGACAAAACAATATAAACCGAAAAATTCAATAAAAATTGCAAATTAAATAAAAGAGAACAAACAAAGAGTGCGATAGCAGGTAAATAAGCTCGTCTCACTAAAAACTAAGAATGGAAAAGAAAATGGAGATAAGACAAAACAACAGACTTGCCACGAAGTAGGAGATTGTGATTGTGTTTTTTCATCATACTTTTATTTATAGGGAATTGAACAAGAGAAATTAAGCTTGAAATTAATTACAATAAAATCAAATATTTCTCAAATTAAAAATTGCAAAACTAGATTGTTATGACGAGAAATTTCTAGGACTGATTTGGAGGAAATAATATGTTTTTTTTTCTATTTTGAGTTTTTCATCACTGATTTCAATTTAATTCTTGATTCTCGTTGGCCTTTAATTCAACTAAATTAGATTCCCACACCAGTTAATTTGTTTGATTTAAAATTTTCATTTGTAACGTTCCACAAGTGGGCTATACAAACAAACTTTGATTGTCTAGAAAAGTGAAGCTCGACTGCATCAATTTGAGCATTTATTTCCATCAATTTGACTCATCTCAATTTATTTTTCTCCTACTAAAGAAAAAAAAAAGAGAAATATGCATTGTGGATAGGGGTGTCAAAGTGAGCCAACCCGACTCACACGGGTTGGCTCACCACGGGTTGAGCTGAAAATAGATGAGCTCAACCCGGCTCACTTTTTGGTGAGCCGTAAATTTTACAACCCGACTCAACCCACCACGGGTTGGTGGGTTAGGTTGGTTGGCTCACTAACCCATATTTTTTTTAAATAATATAAATATAAAATATATATATATATATATATATATATATATATATATATTTCCAAACTTCGGATGTAGAAACTTTTGCTTTTTCTTTTCTTTCTCAACATCAGTATCTTCATTATTAACCGAAATTGACTCATTGGGTTTTTCATTAACAATAAAATCATCACCAACACAATTCATATTGACACTTTGATGCATTGTTTCGATTCCATACTCGTAAATTAATTTGAGAGAAAGAAGTCAAAAATTCATATATTAAAGAGATATACGTATAAATCAATAACAAACAACAAATAATGTATAGATGCTACGATGGGTACGGTGATGTAGTGATACGATGAAGATGAACATATGATAAGATAGTGCAACGACAAACGTAGTGTTGCTCGATAGGGTTTGACTTGTTGTGGCGCAGCGACAATATAGGATAGAGATGAGGTAGGATAACATTTAGGGTTATCGAAGTATTATAATTGTTTTTAAAATTTAAAATATAATTATTAATTAAGGTTAATATATATTATAATTATTTTTAAAATTTAAAATTAATGGTGGGTTGCGGGCCAACCCACCATAACTCGGCTCGAACTCGTTTAACCCGTGGGTTAAGTGAGCCGGGTTCATTTTTAGCCCATAATCGGTAGAAATAAAAAAAATTCAACCCAACCCGGCTCGAACCCGTGGTGAGCCGGGTTGGCTCACGGGTTAGAACCCATATTGACACCCCTAATTGTGGATGTATACTTATATTTTATTTTTTTTATGCTAAAATTATGCAAAATGCAACAATTTAAGAAAAATTGAATTATGTTATGCTTTTAATAAAAACATGTTAAATGCATGCTTTATGAAGAAAATAATTTGCTTATTAAATGCTCTTAGATCAAGAAATAAAGAATAAAATGACAAACATCAAACACTCTCCACTTTTGCTCTCTTACACTTCCAAGCAAAAGATAAAAAAGAAAAGAAAAGAATGCACGCATGTAATGCAAAGATGGATATTGATGCACATATTAATGGCATCCGAAAAAATACAATGGTCTGGAAAAACTTCATCAATCAAAAGTGAGAGAATAAAAAAGATCAAGATCATAACTCACAAAGTATCATCATGGACAAATACACTTTAATGGTTCCAAGACTCATTTCAAGGGAACATCCTCTCGTGTTAAAGTGTTTACTCTAATATCTTTAGTATTTATGCTAAACATTTCACTCATCATCACATCATGACATTGTCCTTTACCATATGCTTGAAAGATCTCTAAATTCTCACCATTAGAACACATACCACAACAGATCCATAGGATTATTTCTTGTCTTATAATGGGGCTAGGGTTAAAGGTAGGTTAAAGTAGGTAAGAGGGCTAAGACTTTAGAAAAAATAAAGAACATGGATCAATGCACCTTGAAGCTTATTCTAGTTGCATCTTTGTGTTTTACCATTTTTATAATGGAATCTCTTCTAAACTCCTTCATTTCTTTGTAGTGCTCAATTTTTTTTTGAAACTTTGGCACTTCTCCTTTTTCTGGCATTATTGATTTATTGTAGAACTACATTTTGTAATGATTTCAAGTTCTTTACTTCCTTTAAAGTCTAGGTGTGGGTAGTTTCTGGGTTGGAAAAGCTTTAATTCATAGGTTTAAATCCAAAAAAAGGCTAAGGCTCAAAGGTGGGTTCAAAGGGTAATTGAGGTAAAGGTAGACTATTTGACTAAGTAGTTAAGACAAAGAAGGCCTAAATTATTTTTCTGGTGTATGTTTCGGTGTCATAGAGAAATCAATTAAGTTATGAAAGGTTCACATGTCATGAGTGGTGCACACAAGAAGGAATAAGGCTTAAACTCACCTAGGTACTTTGTTCACCTTGAAATTAATCAAAATCAATGTTAATGTAACTCGTCTGTGGCTTCCTATGTGAATCAAACCTTTTAAACTTTGAACTCTAACTCCTGACAAAGTTGGTCATCTTTTCCAAAGTACTTTTTCATCAATCTATAACATTACACAATAGTTAGAACAAAATATGAATGAAACCTCATGCATGAAATGCAAATACTCCCAACTTTTGAAATCAACATTGTCCTCAATACGGAGAATTTATGTTACTCAAATGCAAATGAAAACAAGCTAAAACAGCTTGGGTCCTAGGTCTATCTCCTCATATGGTACATGTGTCGAGGTCATCAAGTAGCAACTCGATTAAGCCAAAACAAACAAAATGTTCTTCTGCAATGATTTGGAAATAGACAGTGTCACCTTATTGAAGTCTCAAATGAATATCTGGTAGAAACCTACAATCTTTCAACCATTTTATCTATGAATAAAAAAGAAAAGTGATCCTTCCGAACAATAGTTACCCCACTCTTTTTTGGAATAAATTGGATAGTAGATACACAAGTGTTGTTTATGATGAGATAGATGATATCAGTTTTCAGTAGCTTGGTTACCTCATTTTCACTACATCAAGGATGGTAAGGATTCATCCTTCGTTAGGGCTATCTCACGGGTCTGCAATAATCTTATAGTAAGATTTTGTGCATGCAAATAGCGGGGTTGATCCCAATGATGTCATATAAGGACCAATTGAGTGTTTTCTTACGCTCTTTCAACGCCTTCGACAACCTTCATTCTTGATCGGGGAAGAGATCATTAGGTATGATTATAGGTAGCTTTTTGGACTCCTCCAAGTTAGCATACTTCAATTGGGATGAATGTGGTTTCAGATCTAACTCCTCAGGTTGTTGATGTGGTGTACTTGCTAAACTTGTTTCAGTAGTTGTCTGTGCTCCTGGAAAATAGTCAATATTATTACTAATCTCCTTAGAGATGGCATAACTTCCATCAGTACATTCACATTTAGCTAGGTCTTATTGGCTTATGTTCAGAGATTTTAAGAGATGATCAAGGTCAAAATTAACTCCAGTTCCAACTTTTCCTCCCCTTATCCTTCAACTCAGCAGATGTTCATTAAAAATAACTCTCCCTCACTAAGTAAAGATGTGTTAGGGTTCCTATGATCTGTTTGAACTTCTCGGTCACTTCTCAAGGTGATTGCACTTACATTCTTATTAGGATTGGTCATTATTTGTAAGGGAAGTGCATTCAAACCTTGCTACTTGAGTTATGCTCTCTGTGTGCTCTACATTATCATCTACTATGTGAGTTGTTTCATTAGTTAT